AACAGCATAGGTAAACCTACAGAAATAACTGTTTGCTGGCCCCAGAAGAAAGTACCATTATGTGAACACTGTCCATTGGAGCTGTCCACTCAGTTCTCAACACTCTACTTCCTTATGTGAACTTTTTTATAGAACTTGTCACACTAGCTGAAATGATCTTTTGTTTCATTTTGTTCACTTGCTTCTTTTCTCTGCTCTCCATTTATAGTTCAAACTCCAGAGATTACAGACTTGCCTATCTTTCCACCAGAGCCAGATGGCTGTGTGTTCAATAAAAACTTGTCAAATGACAACTACCCAGGTAATTTACACTCAGGTTACCAAGTACACATAAGACCAAGTCAGGACCAATAAATCAGTAAGCCCAATATAAGAGCAAATACAAAATAAAGTATTACTCCTTTCCTGGGGGAGAGTAATCTTTATATCAACTTTTGCATTCCAACTTGTGCACTTACTTTGAAAGGTTTTATAAAGCCTAATAATTTGGAAGACAAGTAAGTTTTTTGATATTTTATGGAAGATTTTTATGAAAGACAAGCACTGTAACAAAACCAACTTGACCTAAGGCCTAAGGTATTCTTATGTGTGGCCTCCCAGAAAACATGGGCCAAAAGGCTTGTCTCTGCCCTAATGTGGGGATCTCCTGTCCTTTCCCAAAGTTGTCTTTTTGAAAAGCATCACAAGACAAAGCCTTTTAGAAGTTTTGAACAAAGATCACATACATCGCTTTTTCTCAAGAAACTTCTATTGTACTCCAGGACTATTTAAGGGTTGTGAGTTGCTGGGTGTCTGAATTTAAGAGTAAAGGTTCAAATTACAAATGCAAAGAATGAGTCACCAAGGAAATATTTTATACGCAAACATCTGCTTCTTCAACCCCTCAACCTTTTTTTAAGTCTGGCATTGTATCAGACATCTGAAGTAACTTCCTTGCTTATAGTTTTCTATACTTAAAGCTCTAAAAACAGGAGTGGTGACACAAGTGTAACCCCAGCACTCAGGGGGCTGAGGCAGGAGGATCACTGCAAATTTGAGGCCAGGCTGGGCTACATCATGAATGCAGGACCATCCTTGATTAAAGCTTCACTAAAAGCTCTAAAAGCAATGAAAGTTTTACTGGCAGGGGGCAGTATTCAATTATTCAAGTACTGAATTAAACATGATGATTAAATACGATGTTGATTCAACATCATAATAAAAATCTAAGTTGCCTAAGAAAATTCCGTATCTATGGTAATTAGCCAAAGTACAAATTTTCTAACTTTTCAAGGGAATGAAATTTAAACAGTATTGGAAGGCAAAAACACATCTCTACTGGCAAAGAAACATTCATCAATATATAGTAAAACTTTTGTTTGGGGACTGGGTCTCACCATGTAGCCCAGGCTGGCCTCAAAGTAGTTACTCTAAGCTTGCCTCAAATTCAAGATCATTCTGCTTCAGCCTCCCAAGTGGGGGATCACAGGCATGTACCACTGTGGCCAGCTACAGTTTTAAAAAACTTTACAGACACTGTATTCCAAGAAATACCAAGACCACAAAAGGAAAATATGTTTATTATCTGGTCCAGGAAGTTACTCTGCCCATTACCTGAGAATTTCAACTCAGCAGATGAACAGTTAGGTAAATTTGTAGGGTTTTATATTCTTCCTTTAAAAGCTGCTAGCTATCCTTTCTGGAGACTGGTAAAGCATAAGAACACTACATCAGCTTTCACCTAGGAAACATGCCATTTTACAATCTCACTCTCACTCTTTTTTTAATGCTGGTGATCCAACCCAGGAACTTCCAACTTGCAGGGTCCTTGTAATTTCAATTACAGTCATCTGGGCTCAAGTCTTAACATCCTGTAACACTGTCCCTCCCCTCCCCCAATGTCTTCAGCAGTATCTTCTACTTCCTAGGAATTTAATAAACATTCTTTGGATGACTGGCCCTATTTCCCTAACCATTTTAGTATCAACTCTTGTCTTAAAAGGGTCATTACAGACATGTGTCCTACTGAACTACCACTAATTTAAAGCTGCTTTTTTGCTGGCTTGTCTGATAGATGATGGCAACAGTGAATGATTAAAAACTCCAAAACAACTACAGACTACCCAATTGGCTGCTAAGGCTGTCAAAAAACAAAACACTAGTTTAGACAACGAAACAATTTCTGTGCCAGTCAACAAACTAAAATCAACAATTTTGCCTAGCACCCCTCATCCCAAACTCAACTAACAAGGCTAGCACTATAGTTCAATGTTATGGTGCTTGGCTAGGGTGAACAAAGATACTAGGTTTGATGCCTAGTATTGTAACCATTTTCTACTCCCATCAATAGTAAATCTAAATAATACAACCAAGACAGAAAATGTCTAGTTCACACAAACCACTCTTGTACAAAACAATTCAAAAAAAAAAGGCAAAGAAAGCACTGCAGTGAGCCAATAAAACAGGTAAATTAACCAAAGGATAAATTTATAGTGGGTAGCAAAAGACGAACACCTGTCAAAGTCATTTGCCCACATGAAGCTAATCCACAATATAAGAAAGCCAGGGCCGGCCAGATAGCTCAGCAGACTGACAGGGGTTCGATCCCTGGCATGCTGTGCTGGTCCTGTCCCCAGCCTTGTCCCCAAGGTACACTGGGACTGGGCATGGTGACACAAGTCTTTAATCCCAGCACTTGGGAGTCTGAAAACAGAAGGATCATTATGAGTCTGATCTGTGTAGTGAGACCCTATATACCCTGTCCTAAATTAAAAAAAAAAAAAAAAAAGGGAAGAAAGCCAAACTAGTATTTCCATTTCTGATGATTACTTCTGAAAGGATCAAAAACAGTATTGACAACAGCTAAAATAAATTTAGGCCACGTAAAAGTAACCTTAAATGATAGTTTAGTTCTCAGATCTGTGAAAATATGTTCAAACCCTACTCAATGGCACACAGCAAAAAATTACATTAACACCTAAATATACTGTGTGAATTCCTTCTCCTTAATAGCTGGAGTGGTGGCACATAACTGTGATCCCAGCATTTGAAAAGTTGAAGCAGGAGTATCACCACTAGTTCGAGGCCCATCTGAACTACATGACAAGACCCTTTGTCAGCCAAAAACAATACTTTAACAATGTACTTGTTTAAGCAGTGAATTTCAGGCCTAGGAAGATAGCTCAGCAGTCTAAACACCTGCCTGGCAAGCGCAAGTACCTGAGTTCAATCACCAGTACCCCATGCCATGCTGGCCCCACCCTGGCCCACCCAGCTAGCCACCAAAACCAGGTGTGGTAGTGCACACCTGTAGAGGTCTGCATAATGAGACCTTCTACCAAATACATATATTTTTAAAAAATAAAAAGTGAAATTTCACTATTTTCATCATCCATACCTCTTAAAGGTTTAAACAATTAAAGTCAAAACCTTCGAAGTACTTCCAAAAAGTTGGGAGTCAAGTTTTTTAAATACATGTAAAAACTGAAGTGCATTTTCATTATGAGATAATTATTCCCAGCAATAAATCAGATGTAAACGTTTGAATTTGGTTTAAGTTTCCCTTTACCAGTAAGGATCTCAAGTTCTTACGAGTTTCCTAGTTATTTACTTGAACATCATCTACAATAACACTCAGAGCAAAACCACAATAAAGAGGTTTGGCCTCTAAGGGATTCTACATGTAAAAAACATTACTCATAAATAATACACAATCATTATTGCTTTAAGTAACAGATATATTTCTAAACTCATGCCATCTGAAGGAATCCCCTATTTGAGATAGCAAAACAAAAATCTATTAAATCACCAATACTGGTCTTTCATTTTAACTAAATCTATGCAGATATAAAAAGTTGACATAAATTTACTTAAAAAAAAAAAAAACAGGGAAATACTGAGTTGTTTTATTCTAACCTCTAATTCCTTAAGAGTTAATGGAATTTACAGAATACGTCTACCATTAAGTGGACCAATTAATTCTAGTCTGTTTTTAGATTGTACAGTACCTTTTTTATAATATCCAGATATAAATAAAACAGTGAAATCTCAACAAGATGGTCACTCAAAACAACACCTAGTTGGATCTGTGAAGTACTACAAAACAATCATTCTGGAACAGCACCAATTCAAAACCAAGTACCTGATGAGAATTTTGGCAATCAACTTGCAAAGTAAGTCCTGAAGTGTCTGCTAAGAACTCATGTCTCATTTTCATTCATGCCCCAATGCCTGTCCACTAAATGACACCAAAAAGTTTCACTTCAAACTCTTAACACCACTGAAATTCAGAATGAAAGTTAAGATGACCAGGAGGCCCCAAAATAATTTTGATATTTCATCCCAGTATATTGAAATGTTAAATCTAGAACAGTTGTTTTGATACCACATGCAGTTTACCACTATCACTATGAAAATTATTTCAACATTTACCGTAATGAAGACGTAAACATCAAGTGAAATACGGTATTCTATTCATTTTGTTTCACAAAATGCTCACCAATGTACATAAAAATGCACTTCATTGAACACCCAACATCTACTTTCAAGTGCAAAAAAAAAAAAAAATTGACATCTGCAGCTCAGGACAGAGAAGGAACAACCAGCCTTATTACACTACCACCATTAAATTTCTCAACAGAAAAATAACTCAGGACAGGCAAATTAAAACCATTTTTCACATGGCAAAAGTAAAAAGGTCCAGTGTCCCATAACCCACAGCAATAGCACTGTTTCTTCTCTTTCTAAGCCAATACCAACAAGCCAAAGGATGCCAGTGTCAAATTCAGCGTCTGTCTGAAACAGGAAAACCTGGGAAAATTCCTTCCCATAAATCATTTAGAGAACAGGAGGCTTGCACCCAACACGAAATACACACAACCCAGAACATCTCACCCAACCCCAGATGCAGAGAAAACCATAATCAACAAGTTGCAAAGAGGGTAGAAAGTACGTCTCACTACCTTTCTCCCCCACTTTAAAAAAAAGTCCTTCAACAAAAGGTAACACTGATCTTTAAGTACCTGGTGGAGGTGCCTTTCCTCACATCGCAGATGCTGCATTTAAAGGCTTCGGCACTGTTTCTGAAGGTACAGACGCTACAATCCCAAAAGCCTTCGTCTGCGGCAGGTTTTGCTTGTCTTTTTGGCCTTCGGAGATGTGGGGAGTGGGAGAAAGAGGAAGAAAGAAGGCAGAGACCAAGGCAGGAAAGAAGGGAAGAAGGGGAGAGGGAGAGAGGGAGAGAGAGAGAGCAAAACACAGGCGCTGGTGAGCCGTCGTAATTTCGCTGGAATCCAGCGCTGGAAACTTCGCTCGGGCGACCACCCACCCACCCACCCTTTCCGGGGCCCAGGAGAGGCCGCGGGGACGGGACCCAGGCGCCCCCACTGGCACCCCGCACGCCCCGGCCCGGCCGCCTCGCCTCGCACGCCAGGCGGCGGCG